CCTGGGTGTGCGGAGTTCCCACATGCGGGCCCGTGGAAATTTTTTTTTTGGGTTAAGTTGCTAACTCGCACAGCTGAAATGCTGGAAAACTGGAATTTTAAAGGGACGTCCCCCGTCCATGCGGGCATTAATGAGCTCAAACCCAGCCTCCGGTTGTGCGTGGTTCCCATGTACGGACCCGTGAAAGTTTCCGGGCAAGTTGCTAACACGGGAACCTGAAAAGCTAGGAAGCTGGAATTTTGAAGGGATGCTTGCTGACAGACGTGGCATCCAGTTTCATTTCTTTTAGCTAGAGGCTTCTGCCGGAAAGATCACTGCCGTCAGCGACAGAAATCTGCGGGGAGCTGTACAAAAAATGCATCTTCGCATTGGCAGTTGGTGCGCTGGTCATTTATTCTTTTCGGTCTGCTGCAGACTAAATCAGTCGCCACACAGTAAATTTTGTTTCCGTTGTAATTGGTGGTATCTTGCTTAGCATTTCTAGCCTATAAATGCCAGAAGTGTTAAGCAGGCAAGCACCAATGTTTGCAAGCCGAACTTAACCGTTTATTGGAAGCAGGGCGTACTTGGCTTCTAGAAAAAAGTAACGCTACATGAGGAAATTGTTGGCTGCAATTGTTGGCTGATGGCTTCGTTTGCCATCGCTTCAGTTGACCTGTCAAGCTGGCGTTTCCAGTTTGCTGTTTTTATGCGTTTTTGTTGTGCAGCGCTATAGCGCTACTACAGCAAACAAAAATGTATTATCAAGAGGTCGTCTGTGTATGTGTGTGTTTGTGTCCGGAAGTGAGTGAACTTTGTCATCCACTTTCAACTTAGCAATCAGAAAAGCTGGAAAAGTGAAATTTTGAGGCATATTCCCACCTCGTGTATCACTATCCTGTTTTAAGATCTTCCCTTATACGCGCCTAGATCTCGCGTGTGGACCTCCGAAAAAAATATGCATGCTTCTTTGACGGGAAACGATTTTGCGAACCATGCAAGGTAGAAAGCTGAAACTTTGCAGGGTAATTCTACGTGCTTGTGTGAATTAAATATTTCAGTTTCAGCCATTGCCCACTCTTGTGCAGCGCTTACGATCACGTCAAAATTTACACCTGAACTGTGCTAACTCGAAAACTAGTCGGAAAACAGTGGTTGAAATTTTTTCAAAATATTTGCCGCCCATATGGGAAATCGCTTATCTAAAATAGGTTCCGGACTTGTATTTGTGTCACGACTTAGGGCACTTCAAAAATATTTGTAGCGAACTGGTTATTTTGTTTATCGGATAACATGCGAGGTTGAGACTTTGCTGGGGTATCCTACTTCCATCTGGGATCTTAATTCTGCTTGGAGGTGGAATTCCCTGCAGATGGTTATGAGAAATACTCAGCTTTATCGCAAACTCAGTAGCGAGTGCATTTTGCAGCGGACGACCACCCTCATCCTCTCTCAACATTTAGTCCATTTACATATTTGAATTTTTGACGAACGACCGCTTTAGCAACATTTCGACTTTTCAGTGAAGAACTGGAACTGGGTGTTGGGAGGGATTGAGGACTGTCGTCCGTTGCAAAATGCACTCGCTTCTGCGTAAAAGCTGCGTAAAAAGCTGAACAAAGACGCATGCTGGCACCGACTAGATTGGTGCGCTCCAGCCTGGGTTTTAATGTTTTTATGCTTTTTTGCCGTGCAGCTGCAATACGCAGCGAAGACCCATATTGTAACACCCCTGTGTTTATTTATTTATGTGTGGTTGTTTGTTTATGTGTGTATTCGTCTGTCCGGGTGTTTTTACTCAGCAATCACGCAAGCTTTAATGCTGAGACTTTGCCAATGTGTTCTCTGGCCAGGTATAACTCCTGAAACGTGATGCTAACTATCACGCACGTTTGCGTCTTACGTACGGGCATGTGAAGTCTCTATAAAAGCCAGTATGGGCCAGAAGGGCCCTGTAAGGGAAAGAACAAAGGGCCGGAACAGCGGCCTCATAGCTAAGGGTATTACCCGGAAGGGCGCCAAAGTTCGTACACGAAATGGGAAAGCTTTGGCGGGAAAACTGCTAACTCGGGAACAAGAAAAGCCAGGAAGCTGGAATTTTGAGAGAATGCTCCTTACTTATGTACGACCAAAGCATTTCAAATTTAGCTCCCTAAAACTGTCCGGGCCTCACGTACGAGAGCGTGAAAGTTTTGGAGGGGAAACTGTTAACTCGGGAAAGAGGCAAACTGAAAGCTGGGATTTTAAGGGACTGTCACCTACTCATGTGCGACTAAAAGATTTCTAATTCAGCTGTTCTCGTGGGATCTTTTTCGAGCATCAGTAACTTTCCGCTTCTTGGATCGCTGAAATCAACGTCTTCAACTGGCACACCACATGGCTCCACAGTTAACTTCCTGAACTTCGAGGGCCAGTATGTCACAAGTTCTAACTACTGGGATTCCTTGCGATCTTAATGAATTTTTTAATTTCAGTCAAAAGTCGACTTTGTTTCTGCGGATCAGTCATCCTGTATGTACCCGTTGCTCAAAATTATTTAAACAGGATTCGACGCCAATAAAGTTGCTTGTCGCATTCATTTCTTTGGTAATTTGCCATTTTTGCGTTCAGTGAGAATGCATTGTAATGAGGATATGTCGGCATGTGTACCAGTATGCGCAGTGGTTGCACGCATTGAAAGCCTGATTCCGTCGACACAGTGGCTGGAAGCGACAGAAATTTTGAGCCTTTTACTTTGGGTTAAGGCTTTGACCTCAAAGCTGCTAGCGCTGTTTTCATTTTATAACATTGAATGAAACAAATTTTGGGGCCATTGTCTGTGTAGTTTGCGCTCTCTTTGACGTGTTTGTGGTTGTGAGGCAAGAGGATGAGGAGAATGAATCAAGTGCTTCTGGTTGCAGCGACGAATTTGAACGCCAAAAGAAAAAAAAAAAGGTTTAATGGCACTGGCCTCCAGTTTGCTTTTCATTTTCAACGATGGATTTTATGAATGCTTCACACTCAGTCTAACTTCTCTTTCAAGTAGGAAGCTTTATTTAGTATATGTTAAGCAAAATGGTCTCACCTGTTGCTCTCTACCTGATGGCTTTTAGTGTTTACAACCATGAACTACTCACTTCAACCGTTCTTCGTGCATACTTGCTGCTCATTAGTCATCCAA